AAAGAGCGCACAAACCTTGCGCATTACCTCAATAAATAGTGACTAATTTTATTAATAAGGAAATATACTCACAAAATGATTGTATAACAGGCATTAGTAACCATAATCCAAACAGGGTTACAGGTAAATCAAAAAGGGGAGGGGAATGAAGGCTAACGCGTTTCGAAGGGTGCTCCCTTCTTCATCAGAGCTGGGTTTGGCAGATAGAAACTTCAGTATGGCAGAGTTCCCATGGGAAGGAGATATTCAGCCACTGAGTGTCAGTATTACAGCAGTTCAGCCAAGTTAGTGGCTGCTGGCTGTTCTGGGTTCAGACGGTGTACGCCTCCTGATGATGTGTTGACAGGCCCACCCCTTCCTCTTTTCCTCAATGAAAGGCTATGTCTCCTGGGAGGTATGTGACGTACATACCCTGGGAGGCACAGCGGGCAGTAGGCACATCATTCGTCTAAAGGCAAATGATGTGCAAAGGGAGGCAGGGTGGACAATCTATTAAAAAAAAAAAAAAGAAATAAACAAAAGAAAAAAAAAAAAAATCCCTATTCCTGCAGAGTACGAGAGGAGGGGGTGGAGAGGCAGGATTGTACTTGGGAGGCTGAAGGTCTGTTTTAATCTCTCTAATGTGCTTTGAAAGTGCCTTATTGTTAATTTTTATATGTTTAGAATTTGTTTTCTTTTTGTATCCTGTATATATGGCTCATTTGATGCAACAGATCTATCACTATTCATTTGATGAACTATTTTGGATGTATCCATTGTATGCTGAATTTTGTACCTATTTCACTACTTTTTTCAAGAAAAGTTTGTAAACAAAAAAAGCAGAACAAAAATGCATGAAACATATTTCCCTTTAAATCTTTTATAACTCTTTACACCAATGCACTGTGGGTGCAGTGCATTTTTAAAAGTCCTGCATGCTGCATCTTTGGTGTAGGTTTAAAGAGCACACCATGTCCATGTTTCACAAGTGTATGATTGGAGTCAGACAACCAGAAAATGCACCAAAATCGCATAAGCATGCACCAAAACCATAAAAATGCACGTGCGTATTTACTGCATTTTTTCAATGGATCAGTGTGAAAGGGCCCTAAATGTGACTTAATTTGTGTACTCCTCCAGAGACTCTCATCATTGGATTGCCCAAAACCTACAAAAAGCCAAAGGTCATGCCTATCAGCATCTACCCATAATCAAATTATAAGTAGACCAATTTTAGAGAGACTGAGTGTAATTACTCAATTCAAACACGATTTCCCAAATAAATGCCAGTGGCAGCAGGTCTTGTGATTACCAGCCACTTAAAGTATTTGGCATTGAGTATATGCCAAGCTGAGCAGTAAATAACATTATGTCAATAAGTAAACTCTGTGATCATCTCTTCCTGAACTATCACATAGAAACACAACTGGAAAAAACGCAAGCATATCACAGTGTGGAGAAGTCATTATGAAGAGGATGCTGAGGAGTAAGTATCATACGTAGTTGTCTTTGATCATCTGCATAAGGGCCAACGCAAATTATCAAATGACTATCTACAGAATATGGTTTAGGTTAGGACAAACTGAACAATAGATGGGTAGCCAGATAGATAAGGTAAATAGATATCCTGGAAGAAGGGGGACAAGTGGGCAATTATCCATGGTCCCCAGTGCTCTAAGGGCCTCCTTCCAACAGCAGTAATTTAGTGTTACAGCTATGCCTGGTCATTGCACTGTTGCAGGTCACAAGGCCCACAATCCTGCAATGAATATGCATATACTAGCTGTAATACTCTACCTGCTCCACCATTCAGAGGTGGGGGTTCCTGTGGCTTTTTTATGGCAAGGTCATGAGATTGTCACGAGATAGAGTGGCAAAGGATGTTGAGGATGAGCTATTTCCTTTGAATTCTGCTTGGCATCGTGTTGACAGAGGTTTGAAGAGAAGCAGCAGGTTTTTGAATGCTCTACTTTACCCCCACTTTTATGTCTTGTCTCTCTGCCCTTCTGTACTTCAAGTGCTTCTAAAGCAGGGGTCCTCAAACTTTTTAAACAGGGGGCCAGTTCACTGTCCTACAGACCGTTGGAGGGCCGGACTATAGTTTAAAAAAAAACAAAACTATGAACAAATGCGGATACAGTATAGGAGATGACCAGAGACTGCGGACATACAACGGCGGCCGGAATACTGGGCTTCATAAGACGCACAGACATTTCCCCCCAAGTGTGTCTTATGGAGCGAAATAGTGCCCCATCATTGGTGTCAGTGGGTGGAATAGTGCCCCATCATTGGTGTCAGTGGGAAGAATCGTGCCCCATCATTAGTGTCAGTGGGAAGAATCGTGCCCCATCATTAGTGTCAGTGGGAGGAATAGTGCCCCATCATTGGTGTCAGTGGGAGGAATAGTGCCCCATCATTGGTGTCAGTGGGAAGAATCGTGCCCCATTATTAGTGTCAGTGGGAGGAATAGTGCCCCATCATTGGTGTCAGAGGGAAGAAACGTGCCCCATCATTGGTGTCAGTGGAAAGAAACGTGCCCCATCATTGGTGTCAGTGGGAGGAATAGTGCCCCATCATTGGTGTCAGTGGGAAGAATCGTGCCCCATCATTGGTATCAGTGGGAGGAATAGTACCCCATCATTGGAGTCAGTTCGAGGAATAGTGCCCCATCATTAGTGTCAGTGGGGGGAGGAATAGTGCCCCATTATTGGTGTCAGTGGGGGGAGGAATAGTGCCCCATTATTGGTGTCAGTGGGGGGAGGAATAGTGCCCCATTATTGGTGTCAGTGGGGGGAGGAATAGTGCCCCATTGTTGGTGTCAGTGTGGGGAGGGGGGGGGAATAGTGTCCCGGCATTGGTGTCAGTGGGGGAAGGGGATAGTGTCCCAACATTGGTATCAGTGGGAGGAATAGTGTCCCATCATTGGTGTCAGTGGGAAGAATAGTGCCCCATCATTGGTGCAAGTGAGAAGAATAGTGCCCCATCTTTGGTGTCAGTGGGAGGAATAGTACTTCACTGGTGTCAGTGGGGGGGAATAATGCTCCGTCACTGGTGTCAGTGGGAGGAATAGTACGTCATTAGTGTCAGTGGGAGGGAATAGTGCCCCATCATTGGTGTCATTGGGAGGAATAGTGTCCCATCACTGGTGTCAGTGGGAAGAATAGTGCCCTATCTTTGGTGTCAGTGGGAGGAATAGTACGTCATTGTGTCAGTGGAGGGGAATAGTGTCCCCTCATTAGTGTCAGTGGGGGGGGATAGTGTCCCAACATTGGTGTCAGTGGGAGGAATAGTGTTCCATCGTTGGTGTCAGTGGGGGGGATAGTGTCCCATCATTGATGTCAGTGGGGGAAGGAATAGTGTTCCATCTTTGGTGTCAGTGGGGGGTGGAATAGTGCCCCATCGTTGGTGTCAGTGGGGGGTGGAATACTGCCCCATCGTTGGTGTCAGTGGGGGGGAGGAATAGTGCCCCATCATTGGAGTCAGTGTGAGGGAGGAATAGTGCCCCATCGTTGGTGTCAGTGGAGGGTGGAATAGTGCCCCATCATTGGTGTCAGTGGGGGGAGGAATAGTGTCCCATCATTAGTGTCAGTGGAGGAATAGTGCCCCATCATTGGTGTCAGTGGGAGGAATAATGCCCCATCATTAGTATCAGTGACACCAATGATGGGGCACTATTCCTCCCACTGACACCAATGACACGTAACTGGCTGACCCCTGCTCCAGCCTAGGTGCTACTACAGCCAGCATACCTGGTTGCAGCAGCACCATCAGCACGGCACACTTACCTGTCAACTGTCCTACTTCACTCCGGCCTCTCTCTCACTCGATGTTCGCGGGGCCACTCGGCTCCGCCTCCTCGCAGGTGATTGGCCGCCTGTGTGCCTTTCCTGAGCTACAGTTCTGGCGCCCAATCACTGGTGAGGAGGCGGAGCCGAGCGGCAGGAGTGAGGGAGTGGCCGGAGTGAATGAAGGAGCAGCACTTCCTGGACTGGATCGTCGTGGGACTGGGACCGGAGCCAGGTAAGGTACAGCAGCCTCCTGCCCGCCCCTGTACTTAGTGTCCCTTCCTGTCCCGCCCCTGCCGGCGGGCCGGATAAATGGCCTCGGCGGGCCGCATGTGGCCTGCGGGCCGTAGTTTGAGGACCCCTGTTCTAAAGGGTTGTAATTTTTTTTTTAAATAACAAACATGTTATACTTACCTGCTCTGTGCAGTGATTCTGCACAGAGCAGCTCTGATCCTCTTCTTTTTAGGTCCCCTGCTGGCGGTCCTGGTTCCTCCCCCCAGCCAAGTGCCCTCAATAGCAAGTCTCTTGGGCTCAGCCCGGCTCCCTGCTCTCTCCTAATTGGCTCAGTGGCTGTCATTGACAGCAGCAGGAGCCGATGGCTGTGTGAGTCAATGAGGAGAGAGAGAGATCCAGGAGAGCAGCAACTCTCATGCACATCACTGGATCCAGATGGAGCTTAAGAAAGTTTAAGGGGGGGAGCTGCACCCAGAACATATTAAGGTAAACAACCTTCTGCCTTTAGAACCACATTCAGTTAGTTTCTGCTTGTCTCAACTGTTATGAGAGTCCTCACTTCTTCACAAATTCTGCAAAAAGATGTGCTGGTAGCATGTCTGTTGACTACAGTACTATGACGCAATGCATTGCATAGTTGGAACCCATCTACTGATAGTATGCTGCTATACGGAGAGATTTCTTCTTGCTTCCTCTGGTGTCTCACTTTATGACCTCATTAATAGGTCACTATGCGATCAACATGTGGACAGACTTGTGTACACCCTCTGTGGTCTTCCTCCAGCTTCTCTCCTTGTACCACCACAGTATACAATCCTCCAGCTGACTCTCTCATTATGACCTATTAACCACTTCCCGTCCACAGCCCATGTATATAAACGGCTAGACAGGAGCAGTGCAGGGGCGGGTTGCAGTTCATAAACGGCGCCCCACCATTTTAGCCTGTGCACTTCCTGACATCTTTGCTTACTTGTGAAATGTGAATGATCACAGAGATCACACGGTGCAAGGCTATGCACAACAGCCTTGTATCATGTGACAAGCTGTGACCAATCACAGCTCTCACCGTATTTCTCAATGGCTGCAAGAATGCAGCCAGAGAGAAAGAGAAATGGTTGCTTTTACAGCCTTTATAGGTATAAAAGCAATCAGTGTAAAAAAAAAAAATCTTCATCAACCCCCACAAGTAGTACAGTGTCACTATGGTGACACTGTACTGCTAGGGTGACAGTATGTAAAAAAAAAATAATATTAAAAAATAAAATAAAAATGTAAAAAAGTTTTTGAAAAATTATAATTTTTGGTTATAAACTATTTTGGGTTATTTTTGTTTTACTAAAAATGTAACTGAATACATTTTGGCCAAAATTTGTGAAGAAATATTATTTATTTGCAAAATTTTATAACAAAAACACTTTTTAAAAAATGTTTGGACTTTTTCATTCATATAGCAAAAAAAAAATCCCAGTGGTGAATAAATACCACCAAAATAAAGTTTTATCTGACTCAAAAAAAAATGCTGAAAAATTCATATAGGTAGTGTTGCATGACCACGCAATTGTCATTCAAAGTGTGATAGCGCTGAAAGCTGAAAATTGGCCTGGACAGGAAGGTGGTAAAAGTGTCCTGGACTTGAAGTGGTTAATGAGGAGGCGATTGGGCACGTTAACATTTGATTGTGTAAATGCTATTTACAAGATATGCAGGGTAAGGTGCATGACTGAAGGGGAAGGGATCGAGCACATTCGTTGTATGTTGACACACTGGTGGTGGACAAAAGACGGTTACACGTGTTGTGGATTTGGTTCACGGTTAAAGGTGAAATGCACATTTTTCACCTATACAGGGAAACAGTATTTAGGGGAGGAGTGGCACTCATTTTGTGTGTTGCACTTTTATTGCACATAGTTGCATATGTAATTCTTGAGTATAAGTAATACTACAATATATTAGTTCCTTCTTTTTTTTTTGGAGCTTTGGATCAGCACATTGGAAGATCACAGGAGAGAGAGAGATTGTATGGCATACAACACATTCGGATAAAGGTATGTAAATGGATAGAAAACTGGCTAAAAGATCGTATTTAAAGAGTAGTGGTTAATGATTCATACTCTGAATGGTCTAGAGTTGTCAGTGGTGCACCCCAAGGTTTTGGTGTTGGGACCCTTACTTTTTAATATATTTATAAATGATAAAGGGTCTGGGATTAAAAATACAATTTCACCAAGCTTTGCAGTGGAATAATGTCCTTAGAGGATGTCTCCAACTTACAAGCTGACCTCAATGCACTGTTTAATTTGGCAACTATGTGGCAAATGAGGTTTAATGTTGATAAATGTAAGGTTCTGCACTTGGGGACTAAGAATATGCATGCATCGCATCATACATACTAGGGGAAGTACAACTGGGGGAATCAATGGTGGAGAAGGATCTGGGAGTTCTGGTAGATCACAAGTTTAATAATGGCATGCAATGCCAAGCTGTGGTTTCTAAAGTGAGCAAAATCCTTTCTTGTATTAAAAGAGGTATAGACTCCAGAGAGAGAGATATCATATTACCCCGGTACAAATTATTAGTAAGACCTCATCTGGAATATGCAGTTCAGTTTTGGGCACCAATTCACAGAAAGAACATTGGGGAACTGGAGAAAGTGCAGAGAAGGGCAACCAAACTGATAAGATGCATGGAGGAGCTCAGCTATGAGGAAAGATTAGAGGAACTGAATTTATTCTCTCTTGAGAAGAGGAGATTAAGGGGGGGATATGCTCAACATGTATAAATACATCAGTGGTTCATATAGTGAACTCGGTGTAGAGCTATTCACCCTGAGGTCATCACAGAGGACAAGGGGGCACTCTTTACATCTGGAGGAAAAGAAATTTAATCTCCAAACACGGAAAGGTTTCTTTACAATGAGAGCTGTGAAAATGTGGAATAGACTCCCTCAAGAGTTGGTTCTGGCCAGCTCAGTGGATTGCTTTAAAAAACGCCTGGATTATTTCCTAGATACACAGAATATAACTGGATGTATAGGTAAAGTTGATCCAGGGAATATCCGATTGCCTCTCGGGGGATCAGGAAAGATTTTTTTTCCCCTGCAGGAGCAAATTGGATCATGCTTTGCTGGGTTTTTTTTGCTTTCCTCTGGATCAACTGTGGGTATAGGATTATAACTTTTTTTTTTAATGGTTGAACTGGATGGATTTTTGTCTTTTTTCAGCCAGACTAACTATGTAACTGTAAATGTAAAAGGAGATCACGATGGGAATATAAGAGGATTGGAGTACGAAATGGTGTGCTTCTGTTGGCATAACAACGACTTTTTTACCCGGGGAGGGGGGTATTGGACTGAGAGCTGCACTTTTGTTTGTTCTTGTGGTGCTTTACTATTATAATAATGTCATGGTTTTCTTGTTCAAACAATTTTATTAACAATAAACGGGGATGACACAAACAAGGAGACATTGTTAATACATATTAGGCATTGATGTGACAGTAGGATACAATAAAATGAATGAGGGTCAAGGCATTAACGTCTATACATTTCTAACGGAAACAGGTAAATAGGTAAATAGAAATCAATGACAGAATGCAAGATGGTATCAGTCAATCATGGTAATGTCTCCCAAGTGCATTAAAGAAATAGGGGGAATTCTGGAGGGGGTCAGACAGGGGCGGAAGGGGGGGGGGAAGGGGAAGAAGAACAACAACTATGACTCCATGAATATTCATCAAGTTCACAACAGCCTCTACGCGCTACGCACGAGGGGTTATGTACCATATCCTTGTCGTACAGTACTGAACTCAAGGGAGAAGCAGTGACTCGTCAAAGTTAGACGGAAGGAAATGCTCTACCCAAGGGCTCCATATGCGCAGGAATTTAGGGATCGTGTCAAGAACTGTGGCTTCCACCTTTGCGTGTATCATGGCTTGAGTTATTCTGGTTTTGACAGCCGCGACACTAAGAGTAGGGGATTTCCAAGACTTTGCTATAACCTGTTTAGCCGCTGTCGTGACTTGCATAAACAGCTTAAATTGCGAGTTGGAGATGCCAGAAGGGCATTGGTTGAGTAGGGCTGTCGTTGGGTCTGGCTGTATAGTGATAGTGCTAAATGTAGATATCATGGTAAAAATTTCATCCCAAAAGGTTCGGGCTACAGGACAGTCCCACCATATATGGTAATGTGTTCCCAGATCCACACAGCCTCTGAAACAGTTGGGCGAGTAATTAGGGGTAAATTTTGCGATTCTTGCTGGGACCAAGTACCAGCGGGTTAGAACTTTATAATTCGTTTCCAATGCTACAACGTTCTGCGAAGACGATTTTGTGTTGGCCCAAATGCGGTCCCAATCAGACGGGTCGAATTTCTTACCTAGATCCACTTCCCATTTATGGGTATATAGAGGGGGGGACGTGGTGGTCGAAGTGGCGAAGAGTGAGTATAAGCAGGAGATAAGCCCACGTCTGTGAGGGTCTTTGCAACAACGCTCGTTCAAAGAGAGACATGGTGTCTGGCCGATTGGTTATTGTAGCGTATGGTGCGTAAAAGTGTTGTAGCTGCAAGTATCTAAATATCTCAGAGGCCGGGAGGCTATGCGTTTCCCGCAGCGAGGCAAAGGATTTAAACTTATTCCTCTGTAGGAAGTGATGCGTACGGAGCAAATTAGCGGAGGACCAGGCTTTGAATAAACGGGGTGTCTGCCACGCCGGGGGAAAAGCTGGGTTTCGTAGAAACGAGAGCATAGGATTATGTAGTGATTGGAGGAGGTAACGGGTTTTCAATTTATCCCATAAGGATAAAAAATGAGAAGTGATGGGGTTGGTTATAGAGCGGCGGTCTACCGGCCTCAACCAAAGTAGGTTAGCGGTGGATAGGGGATCGCATTCTATTGATTCAAGCGCAACCCATTGAGGGATTTCAAAGGTTGCATGATACTTAGGTAATTGGGCTAAATGCGCTGCTTGGTAATATTTGCTGATGTCGGGTAGGCCTAGACCTCCAGCAAGCTTAGGGCGGTATAGGGTGGAGCGGGGTATACGAGGGCGAGTATTGCCCCATACATAGGAGAAGATGCGACGCTGCAGTGTGCGGAGGTAATGAGGGGGGACTGGGACTGGAAGGACTCTAAACAGATATAGAATTTTTGGGAGGATTGACATCTTGATAACTGCTATTCTGCCTAGCCATGCGAGGGGGAGGGAAGACCATTTGGACATAAGGGCAGAGAGATGGTTTAGCATCGGAAGATAGTTAGCTGCGTAAAGGTCTGATAATCCAGGAGTCAGTTTGATTCCCAAGAAAGGGATATGACACTGTGACCAAGGGAATGGTAAAATCTGTTTCAGATGCGTCAACTCTTTAGGGGGGAGAGAAATGTTAAGTGCTGTAGATTTATTTGGGTTTATTATTAGACCAGAAAGCGCGCCAAACGCCTCGAGAAGCCGGAGTAGGGAGGGTGAAGAAGTCAACGGTGACGTGAAAAAGAGCAAGACGTCATCCGCAAAGAGACATAGCTTATGGTGTGTGCCCCCAATTTCGAGTCCCCTGACATCCGGATTAGCTCTAATTAAGAGGGCTAGGGGCTCTATAGCCAGAGCAAAGAGCAAGGGGGACAGAGGGCAGCCCTGTCTCGTGCCTCTGGAGATCGGGAACTGAGCTGACCTGTGCCCCAGATACCTAATTCTGGCCGAAGGTTCTCGATACAGCGAGAAGATCCAGGTTAAGAAATGTGGGCCAAAACCCCACCGATGCAAAATATAATCGAGGTATGGCCATGAGACTGTATCAAATGCTTTCCGGATATCTAGGGACAGGAAATATGCGGGAATATTACGGGATCTTGCTAAGTTTGCCAAAAGGGATGCACGTCTGATGTTGTCTCCCGCTTGTCTAGTCGGGATAAAGCCCACTTGGTCATTATGAATTAAAGAGCCAATATACAGGTTAAGACGTGAAGAAAGGACTTTTGCTAGCAGTTTGATGTCAATGTTGAGGAGAGAGATTGGCCTATAGTTGGACCACTGCGTGTCATCAGAATTCGGCTTTGGGATCATTGAAATGTTCGCTTGCACTGTTTCATGGTTGAAGGTTTGGCCAGATAGTAAAGCGTTAAAAGCAT